CGTTGGTAAGGGGATGTTCCCAGAATCCTCTCAGAGGATATACTTGGAGGGAGTGGATGTGCAAGCCAATATGTGATAAATATACTCCAACATTCCTGTCTTCCTAAGTCTTTGGATTTCTTCCTACACGATGCCAGGGATGTTCCAGTATCTCAATTTAAAACACAGGCCACTGTGGAGTCCAAGTTTCAGTGAGTTTACCAAATAAATGGTTAGCATCACTTACAGCTGTAGATGCTAGAACATTAAATCCTTAATGTCTGATAAGTGTACCCATATTAATAAATTCTAACCAACTCAACATTATATTCTGTGCTCCTTGCTTTAACTCCCTTATAGTATACTGTCACATATTCCCTGGATTTTTGTCACTATATATGCAAATCCTGAGAGTCTTTTGCTGTAAAAGCTATTTCCTCCTGGTCAGACTTTGTATTTGCCCTGCTGGGGCATTTGAACATCTGACTGTAGTTATGAGTCTACTAGAAGTAAGAGGTGGTTGTGGTGAATCTTCAGGAAAATGGGAGTCCCTACCAAGGCAGTTGCCTCAGATGAGATTTTTACAAGGTTTTCAATTTAGTGAAGGCTAGTCTCCACAAATACAGGAGGACAAACTGCCTCCATTTGCAAGAGAGGCTAGAGTGACTCAGGAGTTTGAGATTATTAGTGTCCTAGTTCCACTAAATCTTGGAAATTTGGAATGAGGTCCTTCTTCCCAATCAGTGCCCCAATTTTCACATGAGTAACTTGGCTGGGATGTGAATTCAGTTAACACTGAAACCCATAATTCTTGATGAATTGACCCCTTTATCATTCTATAATGACTTTCTTTGTTTCTTGTTGCAGCTTCTGGCTTAAAGTCTATTTTGTCTGATGTAAATATAGCTACCTCTCCTCTATTTTGGTTTCACTTGCATGTGATATCTTTTTTCTATCCCTTCACTTTGAGCCTATGTGTGTCCTTAAAGCTGATGTGAGTCTCTTGTTTAGGCAGCACGTAGTTGGGTCTTGTTTTTCATCCATCCAGCCACTCTGCATTTTGATGGAAAATTTAATCCATATGAATTTAGAGTAATTATTGATAGGGAAGAACTTAATCATGTCATCTTGTTAATTGTTTTCTGGCTGTTTCATAGTTCTTTGTTGCCTTCTTCCTCTCTTACCACCTTCCTTTGTGAGCTGATGATTTTCCATAGTGGTATGCTTTGATTGCATTCTTTTTATCTTTTGTGCATCTACTGTGAATTTTTGCTTTGTGGTTACCATGGGGCTTACATAAAACATCTTATAGATACAACAGTGTATTTTAAGCAGATAACAATTTAATTTCAGTTACAGACAAAGAGTCTACCCTTTTACCCTCCCATTTAAAAAAATTTATTTATTTGGGCAGGGGCGCAGAGAGAGACAGAGAGAGAGAATCCCAAGCAGGCTCCACGCTGTCAGCACAGAGCCCGATGTGAGGCTTGAGTTCATGAACCATGAGATCATGACCTGAGCCAAAATCAAGAGTCTGACATTTAACTGAGTGAGCCACCCAGGCACCCCTCCCATTTTGTTTTTGAGGCCACAATTTACATCTTCTTATATTATATATCCATTAGCAAATATTGTAGCCATAGTTATTTATAATACTTGTGTCCTTTAACCTTTATACTGATTAACTGATTAACACACTACCAGATTACAGTATTGGAATATTCTGAATTTGACTATATAATTAAATTTATCAATATGTTTTATATTTTCATGTTTCCATGTTACTAATTAGTGTCTCTTCATGCCTGCTTGAAGAACTCCTTTCATCGTTTCTTATAAGGCAGTTCTAGTGGTGGTGAACTAACCTCAGCTTTTGTTTGACTGGGAAAGACTTTGTCTCTCCTTCATTTCTGAAAACTTTACCAGATAGAGTATTCTTGGTTACTTAAAGTATATCACCCCACTCTCTTCTGGCCTTTAAGGCTTCTGCTAAGAAATCCACTGATAGTCTTATGGAGTTCCTTTATAAGTAGCACACTTCTTTTTATTGCTGCTTTCAAGATTTATCTTTGTCTTTGGTTTTTGAAAGTTTTATTATAACGTGTCCTGGGGAAGATCTCTTTGGGTTGAATTTGTTTGCAACTTCATGAACTTGAATGTGCAAATATGCCCCCAGATTTGGGAAGTTCTCAGGCATATTTTTTTAAAATAAGCTTTCTGCCCCTTTCTCTCTATCCTTAGATTCTCATAATACATAGGTTGTTTCTCTTAATGGTGTCCCATCAATCCCATAGGATTTCTTCATTCCCCTTCATTTTTTTCCCCTTTGCTTTTCTCTGACTGGATCATTTCAAATGATCTGTGTTCCTACTGAGTATTTACACAAAGAAAATGAAAACACTAATTCAAGGAGAAGTATGCACCCCTATGCTTATTGCAGCATTATATACAAAAGCCAAGGTGTGAAAGCAACCCAAGCACCCATTGACAGATGAATGGACAAAGATGTCCATACACACACACACACACACACACACACACACACACACACACACACGAATATCATTCAGCCATAAAAAAGAATGAGGTCTTGCCATATGTGACAACATGGATGGACCTGGAGGATATTACACTAAATGAAGTAAGTCAGAGAAAGACAGATACCGTATGATTTTACTTACACGTGGAATCTAAAAAACAAACAAACAAACAACCCCAAACAAACAAGAAGCAGAAACAACTAATAAATATAGAGAACAAAGAGATGGTTTTCAGGGGGAGGATATTGAGGGATGGGCAAAATAGGTGAAGGGAGTGGGAAATACAGTCTTCCGGTTATGGAATGAATAAGTCACAGGAATTAAAGGTACAACATAGAGAATATAGTCAGTGGTATTGTGATAGTATTTTATGGTAACAGATGATAGCTATACCTGTGGTGAGCATAGCATAATGTACAGACTTGTCAAATTACTATGTTGTACACTTGAAACTAATGTCACATTGTGTGTCAACTATACTTCAATAAAATAATCTGTATTCAGATTTACTAACTTTCTTCTGCTTGGTCTCATCTGCTATTGAAGCTCTTTTTTTGAATTCATCATTTCAGTCCTTGTATTCTCCAGCTCTGAAATTTCTGGTGTTCTTTTTTATATTTCTCTTTGTGGAATTTATCATTTCATTCTTCTATTTTTCTTATTTCATCAAATTGTTTATCTGTGTTCTCTGTTAGCACTCTGAGCATCTTTAATACAATTATTTTGAATTCTTTGTTAGGTAGTTTATGAATCTTTACTTCTTTGGGGTCCATTACTAGAAGTTTACTACATTCCTTTAGTGGTGTCATGTTTCCCTGATTCTTTGTGATCCCTGTCACCTTCATAGGTGTTTGTGCATTTGAAGAAGCAGTTGTCTCTTCCAGATTTTATGGAATGAGTTTGGTGAGGAAAGACTTTCACCTGTGGTTGGGGGCATTTTGGCACATGCTGTGACCCATGGTCTAGTACTGCAGGATACCAAGTGTGAGGGCATGTAGCATCTGTAGATGGGGATGGGTGGAGGTGGCATGGTGTCTCATTGGCTCCAAAAGCTGTGGTCCATAACGTCAGTTACATGATCCTTTGTGAGAGCTGTAGGCAGTCCACAATGTCTGCAAGGACTGTTGGATTCTTTAATGGCATCTCCAGTCTAGTGGCTAGGGACATGCCAGACAGTGATGGTGACCATAGCCAGTGGTGTGCACCCTCCTAGCTATGGGGCTAGTTGAGGGGGGTGGCTGCAGGGGCCAGTTGCAGGCAGATGTGCAGTGGTGAAGGCTAGGTCCTTCAGCAGAGGCTGGGGCCAACTGCAGGCACACAGGCACCTGCAGGGGCCCTGGTTGTCAGTGTGTACATGTGTAACCATTGGGGCCAGCTGTAGTCATGCATTTGTCAGGGGAGACCAGTGATGGGAGTTGAGGCTGGTGTCTTGCAGATGTACAACCATAGGGTTAACTGCAAGTGAGAGGGGCTGTTCAGACCAATGACAGGGGTTAGGGTTCAGTTCAGACCCATCAACAGCTATACAGATGTTGGCTGTTGGCATATACCTGTGGGACTGCAGGAGCTTGCCATGGCATATGCCCAGCAGTAGAAGCTGGTAATGAGAGTCAAGCCCGCAGCATGCAGGTCAATAGCTGCAGGAGTCTCCTGCCATTCTCAGCAGTTATCTCTATCTTACACTAGCTTTTCTTTCTTAGCCTTACCTTTAAGTGTTCATCAGCAAGGGTTTATCCTTAGCTTTTTTTTTTTTTTCATCTCCTAGAAGATTCTCGTATTGGGTGAGCTCCACTAGCATCTTCCTGCAAATGCATCTTTCTGTCAGTACCCAGGGATTTCAGACTCATGAAATCCAGCTATATGATACTGCTTATCTTCTATTAGTCTGACAAATCAGAATTGTGTATGATTACTTTCTTATACTGAGAAACCTCTTCCTCAAGGATAACTAGCTACCCTTTCATCTATGACTGACAGTCTTGTCAATCAAGATGTCAAATGCTGCAATTCACCAATTTATAAATCTATTGGGAGTGCATGTGAAAGGGCCTTACCAGATTCACAAAAACCCAGACTCAGAGCTGACAATCTAAGTAGGATGACTCTGGAATCTCATGAATGGGGTGTGTGAGGTGTGAATAATGCTGTGCACTGTGGGTAACTAAAATGCAAATTAATACTTCAGACTGGACAGTGCTTCTATCATTATCCAATGGACTTGATTCTGCATAACGTCCTACAATATATTTTAGTCACAATATATTTCAGTGGCATTAAGATTCTTACTGCCTGCAAACTTCTATCAGACTATTGAGCAGGTATCTTAAATGTGTTAACACCTACAAACTCAAACTCTTATCATTCCTCTAACCTGTTTTCCTCTCCTTTCCATATTTCATTTAATGGCATCATGATCCATTCAACCTTATAAATATGAAAAAACACTCAGTGAACCTTAACTATTTCTCTTTTTCTCTTTAGATCCAACTTTGCCCCCAATCCTGATGATCATATCTGTTTTAGTTTAGGTTCCTTCAGAACAGACCTTGATCCAAGGAGTTAAATGTAAGTTCATTTGGGAGGTGGTTCCAGGAAACAATGGCAAGGGAGTAGGGAAGTAATACAGGAAAGTGAGGGAAGCCTGTACTATTAGGCAGGTTTCACTGAGGCAACTGAGGCTCTATCCCATTGGGGAACTCTGGGAGACAGAAATGTTCCACCCATGGGACTCTATGCAGCTTCCTATTCATCACTGGCTGAGGGCTTCTCCTAGAAGATATCAACTCTCAGGCACTTCTTGCCATCCCACATTTGGACTGGCACAAGCCCTCAGACAGAATTGCAGGTGCTTGCAGTCAGAGACCATTCGTATGTACTGAAAAGTGAAGCTGAAGGGATGTAGTTAGGGTATTGGCAATGTCTAGCAGAAAGTAGAGTGAGGGGCATTGAAACATGCAACATTTAACAGGTGCAAAATTTACCTTCATTCTGTGCACCCTCCCCCCATCCTTCATAATTCTAGTCATTGCTGGCAGAGTTAACTTTTTAAAAACACCAATTTGATCACATCTGTCCTGTGCTTAAAAAGCACAGAGTAAAGTCCATCCTCCTTGATTTCACATGAATAAACATTATAGACTGAAAAGTTACCTTAACAATTTTTTTAAAAACATTTATTCATTTTTGAGAGACAGGGTGTGAGTGGGGGAGGGGCAGAGAGAGAGGGAGACACAGAATCTGAAGCAGGCTCCAGGCTCTGAGCTGTCAGCACAGAGCTCAAAGCAGGGCTCGCACTCATGCACCATGAGATCTTGACCTGAGCTGAAGTTGAATGCTTAACCGACTGAGCCATCCAGGTGCCCTGAAAAGTTACCTCTTTAGCCTCATCTTCTGCTATTTTCTTTTATATAACTAAGCTCTGTACATGAATGCTTCACTTCCTGAACTTTTATACCCTAGTGTGTATTGTTCCTTCTGCCTCAAATACCCTTCCCCACTCCTTTACACAAAAATTTCTTACTAGTCCTTTAAAATCCAGTTTAGAAATCTTTCTATGAAAACTTCCCTGAACTCCCTGGGAAAATTAATTGCTTACTCCTATGTGTTCCTTAACACCTCTGCTTTTGCACTGTGCAGATTGAACTGCACCTATAAATCCTTTTTTTCATCACTAAACTAGGAACTCTTCAAAGGAAGTTTTCCTGTCTCCCTGAGCACAGGTCTCATTTATCTTTTTTAACCCCAATGCTTGCATATAGAAGGCACCCAATAAAGGTTTATTGCATTGAATTTATCTGGGTGCATCAAAAAAACCCTGATTTTAAAAGAAATGGAAGGGAGCTTCTAGTAATTTCAGGAGATGGACACCATAAGCAAAGAAAGCAGGCTGTGAGAATGTACAATTGGGACCTACCAAAGAAATCTATTTTATATTACTTATTTATGAACTGCTTCAAAAAGGCTTTGAGGCAGCTATTCTTAAGTGCTGGAATCTGTTGTCTCCAAAGGCAGTACTTCTGGTTTATTCTGCTAGAACATGTGTTGATAAAAAGACATGCAAATACTCTAGCATAGTTTAAAGAAACCATTTTAAATTAAATAGTCCCTAGATTATAACTGTCCTAGAGGCAAAGGCCGTGTATATAAAATTTACTTTTTACATAGCACCTAGCCTAAATATACACAAATTCTTAAATGATTTTTGGCACAGCAGTAATTTTGATTACTGTAGTCATTTGCAATGAAGTAAGCATCAGATAATTATCCACTTTAATTCCTTAATATGAATAAATAAGCAAGATAAATCACATTCCTCTCAGAACTCCCCACTCAGAAAAATGCTTTGTAGTGAGATTATTATTCTAATATCTGTATGCCTTTCATACGTGATGAATTGGGTAGCCATCAGAGTTTCACTTCACCTAATCTTGTTATTTCAAAAATTATTAAGGATGATAATAATATTTCAAAAAATTTTTTTAATTTTTGTGTTTATTTTTTTTTTTTGAGAGAGAGGAAGACAGAATGTGAGCAGGCGAGGGACAGAGAAAGAGGGAGATACAGAATCTGAAACAGGCTCCAGGCTCTGAATGTCAGCACAGAGCTGAACATGGGGCTCGATCTCACAAGCCGTGAGATCGTGACCTGAGCCGAAGTCGGGACGCTTAACGGACTGACCCACCCAGGTGCCCCATGATGATAATAATGTTTTTAAAACTTCACTTGCATTACTGTTGCTGCTGCTGCTGCTGCTGCTGCTGCTGCTGCTGCTGCTGCTGTGTGTGTGTGTGTGTGTGTGTGTGTGTGTGTGTGTGTTTCTTTCTTAAAATGATAATGGTGGTGATTGTTATGGTTGAGCTTTCCTGCCTCCCTGGGCACTAGCCTAGTATTAATCTAGGTTTGGGCAGTAACAACAGCAGTAACAGTAGTACAGTTTGAAAAGTTTAGCAGTTGAGAACTTAGTACCATTCAATAGAATGGTAGGATGCAGTGGGGGTTGGGAGTGACTTTGGTCTCCCACAGTACTTTTTGTTGTTTAATATTTTCTTTCTGTTATTAATATTGGTCTGATAATAGTGTTCCCTACTATTTGATGATACCTTTTAGTGGTCCAGATGAGTGAGCCAGCATCTCAAGAGGGATCCAAACCTGTTCAGGTACTTGGCTTACATAGATTTCTAACCATTTAATTATAAGAGGATTTGAGATTTAACATTCTTGAGAAAATTGAGATGCAAGATCGTATTTTGTCATTTACTTACTTCTCTTTTTAGTTGAAGTATTCTGCCTCAGGTCATGACAAAAGTGCTGGAAAAAGGGGTTCAAATAATAGTTGGGTTACAGTAACCTTCTAGTTGGTTGGCATTTATAATATGTCTGTTATTGTTTGAAATTTTTTTTTAATTTTTTAACTTTTTATTTATTTTTGAGACAGGGAGAGACAGAGCATGAACAGGGGAGGGTCAGAGAGAGGGAGACACAGAATCTGAAACAGGCTCCAGGCTCTGAGCTGTCAGCACAGAGCCCGACGTGGGGCTCGAACTCACGGACCGCGAGATTGTGACCTGAGCCGAAGTCGCCGCTTAACCGACTGAGCCACCCAGGCGCCCCTTGTTTGATTTTTTAATATGGCTACTTTGTGTGATTTTATTTGGTATGATGTTTGCCCATTATGTAAATTTTTTTACATAAAAAGTTTGCTATACTAGAGTTTAAGATGTTAGTTTTATCTTTAGCTTCTTTTGGATCCCACTTAACTAATACTGTTTCCATTTCAGGAAAATGGAAAAGAAGAGAAAGAAAGGAAACAGGAAGCAACTGAAGTGAAAGTCCCTACTGAGGTAGAGTTTTCATAAATAATCAGATGTTAATGCTGGAGAATACACTGGTCAAATTAATTTTCTTATGAAAAAGGAAAAGAGGGGTGCCTGGGTGCCTCAGTCAGTTAAGCATCAGACTCTATTTCACCTCAGGTCATGATCTCATGTTGAGAGACTGAGCTCTGCATCAGGCTCCTCACTGTGCATGAAGCCTCCTTAAGATTCTCTTGCCCTCTTCCTCTGCCACTCCCCCACCCATCCTCTTGCTCTCTCAAAAAAAATTTTTTTTACAAAAGGAAGGAAAAGATGTGGATGTCCAAAAGGATAAATAAAATGCCAAATGGAAATGAGCAAATTCATGTTAACCATTAAGCTGACTCATCTGAGACAGTTGCAGGAAGTGTCTGTGGACAGATAAATTATTTGTGAAAAGCTATTACAAGTTATAGATAAATAAAGGTTGCATTCTAAGGTCAGAACCATTACCCCAAGTATAAAACCCACCAGTTTTTAGGATAACTTCATTATTCATTCTGAAAATATAATTTCCATATTAATAATTTAAGTAACTTTGTGTTTATTTGAATACAAGACTTCAATGAGGAAGAATATTCTATAGAAAAAGGGATGCGATCGAAAACAGTTATATGGGGTTCCTGGGTGACTCAGTTGGTTAAGCCTCTGACTCTTGATTTCGGCTCAGGTCATGATTTCATGGTTCATGAGTTGGAGCCCTGCATCTGACTGCGCTGACTGCAGATTCTGCTTGGGATTCTCTCTCTCCTCTCTGCCCCTTCCTCTCTCTCTCTCTCTCTCTCTCTCTCTCTCTCTCTGTCTCTCAAAAATAAATAAACTTTAAAAAATCTTAAAAAAAAAGAAAATAGTTATATGGATTCACCATTAAGTTCAATAATATGAGTCTTAAAAATATTGTTATCGTTCTTTTAACACTACATCAACATGAGTACAAAAAATGATTTTTCCACCATTTATTCATAAAACTAACCTTTAATTTCAATTAAGATGAAATATTTTTCTTTCTACCACAAACGTAGAAGATGATTCTAATAGTAGAAGAAAACAGTAGCATTTTCAAAAGTCCACTTTCATCTTGCAGTGGTCTCAAATATTGTTTCTAGAAAGTATTGTATAATTTGAAGATTAATGTACATCTGAAATAATATTCTTTGCATATCACTTTGTTAGCCATAGAAAGATGGGATGACATGTTGAACCAATGTATTTTATCTTATCAATGCAGTAAGCAGTCTTTGCTTCTAATACACAGCATTAAATCCTAGAAAAATCAAACGTATGTCTGGTAACTCCTATAAGTCATTTATCTGCATTCTTTAATTGGGAGGGTTGATGCAACTTTGAAGAAAAGTAACTCATTTTACAATTGGGATTTCTTTTCTCTTTTCAGAGTTCACAGAGCGTACCAAGCAGCTCTGCATTAGACACCAGCAGCAATGTGCCAGAAACAGCAACAGATGAAATCAAATCCCAAGGTATAGAACTAGCCTTTCCCCTACACAATGGAATTTAAAACAATTGTGTTTTCACTGGGGATGCATTCCTTAAGATTTTGCCTTAAAAAAAATATAGTCTCAGGGGTATTTTAAACACAATTTGGGAAATAGTTTAAAATGTATTCCCTTCATCATCTATTAATATTTTTGAAGCAACTTTATGACTATTCATCCTGTGCTTAAAGAGAAAATTTAGCTGAGATCTGACTGATACATAGCAGGCAACCCATTAAGAACACAAATGATTTGGCCTGCTTATTGTTTTTTGTTTGTTTGTTTGTTTGTTTGTTTCTCCTTTTTACCTCTGTACTTGACCACACATTTATTGTGTTTGATTTCTAGCCCCATCCTTAACCCATATCCCACATAATTATGCATCTTGGAAGTGTATCAGATCAAAGACAAAACACAAGTGGGAAAGACAGTCATCCCTTTCATTGCAGTTCTTCAAACTTTAGATACTTAGTGAAATCCTGTACCAAAAAAATTCTTTACAATATTTGAAATTTAACAATTTTAACTAATTGAAATGTGCTTCTGTTCAGTTTCAAGTATTAAGTGTTAAGTATGTGCTAGGCAGTGCTAGGCCAAGTTACCATAATAATTATTTAAAGCATTTTCTAAAGTATAAATTGTTATATGGGTGCTACTTACCGCTTTTAGGTACTTAACTTTTCTCCAAAGGGTTTTCTGTCTCTTAAACCAATTAAAAGCAGTTATTTACTATTTCTTCTTATCAACACACATTATAATACATACACATTAAGAACCAAATTTTCCAACACTTACTCTGTTTTTATTATAAACTTGTACTATTTTCATAGCTTCACTAACTTTTAAAAAGTTTCTCAGAAAGTCCCTCTCCACCTGCCTCTCCACCCACCCCAATTTCTTGATTTTACTTCTTCCTCACTCCCACCCTCCATCACCATTGCTGCATACATATACTTTGCCTTTACCTTAATCATTTCAGCCATGTTTTTTTTAAGTTTATTTATTTATTTTTAGTAATCTCTAACACTCAAGGTGGGGCTCAAATTTACAACCCCAAGATCAAGAGTCACATACTCTTCTGACTGAGCCAGCCAGGTGCTCCTCAGCCAGGTTTTTAAATGAACTCTTTCATTTTAAATATGCCAAACAGAATTGGGATCTTGGTAATTTGTTATAAATTTAATTAGATGTTCACTTTAATCAGTTTGTGGCCAAATTTGCACATGCAACACTCACGCATGCATTCCATCATGTAATTTATTACCTCTCTAGAAAACGTATCAATCAAGAGTTTGTTATTTCTTGTTCCTGTATTTTCAATTTCTGTTATAGCTTTTCAGTTTGTGCTATAGGGAAGTGTGTTTTGTTTAAATCTGTGTATCCCAGTATGTGTTATATACTGAAAACATTGCAGTTGCTTATTACAATATCAGTTGCAAGGCAATGTACTTATTTATTTAGTGACCAGGCACTATTAAGCCTAATATTCTAAATCTCCCTTTGTAAATGTGTGTGTGTGTGTGTGTGTGTGTGTGTGTGTGTGTGTGTGTGAGAAGTGGGAAGAGGAACTGTTAATGCAATTTCAATATATCAAAGGAAGTGTCTTTATTCTTGTTATATGTTTTCAAAATTAAAATGATGTTATCTTGTCAGGCAGCTCTGAGAATGCACTCAAGTATGTATCTTTGCAAAGAAAATATTGTGTTTAAATGTACCATGAAAATTCCTCATTTCTTTACCCTAGTCATCATACATTTCAGGGTATGAACTTAACTTGCATTTTGAGAAACCTTTTTTTGAAAATGTGTTTGCTCGGGGCACCTGGCTGGCTCAGTCAGTGGAACATGTGACTCTTGATCTTGCAGTTATGAGTTTAAGCACCATGTCGGGTGTAGAGGTTACTTAAAAGTAAAATAGTAAAAGAAAAGAAAGAAAATATATTTTCTCAACTCTGTTCTTATTTCACAGCCCTAAGATTAACAATTTTGTAGGAAAATACATTTTCCTATAGTTTTTGAATCCTAATTCCAATAGTATTTATTTATTTTTTTTTATTTATATATGAAATTTATTGTCAAATTGGTTTCCATACAACACCCAGTGCTCATCCCAAAAGGTGCCCTCCTCAATACCCATCACCCACCCTCTCCTCCCTCCCACCCCCCATCAACCCTTAGTTTGTTCTCAGTTCTCAACAGTCTCTTATGCTTTGGCTCTCTCCCACTCTAACCTCTTTTTTTTTTTCCTTCCCCTCCCCCATGGGTTCCTGTTAAGTTTCTCAGGATCCACATAAGAGTGAAACCATATGGTATCTGTCTTTCTCTGTATGGCTTATTTCACTTAGCATCACACTCTCCAGTTCCATCCACGTTGCTACAAAAGGCCATATTTCATTTTTTCTCATTGCCACGTAGTATTCCATAGTGTATATAAACCACAATTTCTTTATCCATTCATCAGTTCATGGACATTTAGGCTCTTTCCATAATTTGGCTATTGTTGAGAGTGCTGCTATGAACATTGGGGTACAAGTGCCCCTATGCATCAGTACTCCTGTGTCCCTTGGATAAATTCCTAGCAGTGCTATTGCTGGGTCATAGGGTAGGTCTATTTTTAATTTTCTGAGGAACCTCCACACTGCTTTCCAGAGTGGCTGCACCAATTTGCATTCCCACCAACAGTGCAAGAGGGTTCCCGTTTCTCCACATCCTCTCCAGCATCTAGAGTCTCCTGATTTGTTCATTTTGGCCACTCTGACTGGCGTGAGGTGATATCTGAGTGTGGTTTTGATTTGTATTTCCCTGATGAGGAGCGATGTTGAGCATCTTTTCATGTGCCTGTTGGCCATCCGGATGTCTTCTTTAGAGAAGTGTCTATTCATGTTTTCTGCCCATTTCTTCACTGGGTTATTTGTTTTTTGGGTGTGGAGTTTGGTGAGCTCTTTATAGATTTTGGATACTAGCCCTTTGTCCGATATGTCATTTGCAAATATCTTTTCCCATTCCGTTGGTTGCCTTTTAGTTTTGTTGGTTGTTTCCTTTGCTGTGCAGAAGCTTTTTACCTTCATAAGGTCCCAGTCATTCACTTTTGCTTTTAATTCCCTTGCCTTTGGGGATGTGTCGAGTAAGAGATTGCTACGGCTGAGGTCAGAGAGGTCTTTTCCTGCTTTCTCCTCTAAGGTTTTGATGGTTTCCTGTCTCACATTCAGGTCCTTTATCCATTTTGAGTTTATTTTTGTGAATGGTGTGAGGAAGTGGTCTAGTTTCAATCTTCTGCATGTTGCTGTCCAGTTCTCCCAGCACCATTTGTTAAAGAGACTGTCTTTTTTCCATTGGATGTTCTTTCCTGCTTTGTCAAAGATGAGTTGGCCATACGTTTGTGGGTCTAGTTCTGGGGTTTCTATTCTATTCCATTGGTCTATGTGTCTGTTTTTGTGCCAATACCATGCTGTCTTGATGATGACAGCTTTGTAGTAGAGGCTAAAGTCTGGGATTGTGATGCCTCCTGCTTTGGTCTTCTTCTTCAAAATTACTTTGGCTATTTGGGGCCTTTTGTGGTTCCATATGAATTTTAGGATTGCTTGTTCTAGTTTCGAGAAGAATGCTGGTGCAATTTTGATTGGGATTGCATTGAATGTGTAGATAGCTTTGGGTAGTATTGACATTTTGACAATATTTATTCTTCCAATCCATGAGCAGGGAATGTCTTTCCATTTCTTTAAATCTTCTTCAATTACCTTCATAAGCTTTCTATAGTTTTCAGCATACAGATCCTTTACATCTTTGGTTAGATTTATTCCTAGGTATTTTATGCTTCTTGGTGCAATTGTGAATGGGATCAGTTTCCTTATTTGTCTTTCTGTTACTTCATTGTTAGTGTATAAGAATGCAACTGATTTCTGTACATTGATTTTGTATCCTGCAACTTTGATGAATTCATGTATCAGTTCTAGCAGACTCTTGGTGGAGTCTGTCGGATTTTCCACGTATAATATCATGTCATCTGCAAAAAGCGAAAGCTTGACTTCATCTTTGCCAATTTGGATGCCTTTGATTTCCTTTTGTTGTCTGATTGCTGATGCTAGAACTTCCAGCACTATGTTAAACAGCGGTGAGAGTGGGCATCCCTGTCGTGTTCCTGATCTCAGGGAAAAAGCTCTCAGTTTTTCCCCGTTGAGGATGATGTTAGCTGTGGGCTTTTCATAAATGGCTTTTATGATCTTTAAGTATGTTCCTTCTATCCCGACTTTCTCAAGGGTTTTTATTAAGAAAGGGTGCTGGATTTTGTCAAAGGCCTTTTCTGCATCGATTGACAGGATCATATGGTTCTTCTCTTTTTTTTTTTGTTAATGTGATGTATCACGTTGATTGATTTGCGAATGTTGAACCAGCCCTGCATCCCAGGAATGAATCCCACTTGATCATGGTGAACAATTCTTTTTATATGCCGTTGAATTCGATTTGCTAGTATCTTATTGAGAATTTTGGCATCCGTATTCATCAGGGATATTGGCCTGTAGTTCTCTTTTTTTACTGGGTCTCTGTCTGGTTTAGGAATCAAAGTAATACTGGCTTCATAGAATGAGTCTGGAAATTTTCCTTCCCTTTCTATTTCTTGGAATAGCTTGAGAAGGATAGGTATTATCTCTGCTTTAAACGTCTGGTAGAACTCCCCTGGGAAGCCATCTGGTCCTGGACTCTTATTTGTTGGGAGATTTTTGATAACCGATTCAATTTCTTCACTGGTTATGGGTCTGTTCAAGCTTTCTATTTCCTCCTGATTGAGTTTTGGAAGAGTGTGGGTGTTCAGGAATTTGTCCATTTCTTCCAGGTTGTCCAATTTGTTGCCATATAATTTTTCATAGTATTCCCTGATGATTGTTTGTATCTCTGAGGGATTGGTTGTAATAATTCCATTTTCATTCATGATTTTATCTATTTGGGTCATCTCCCGTTTCTTTTTGAGAAGCCTGGCTAGAGGTTTGT